TATATATGCATATATATAATAGATTCTTACTCTCTACTGGGGAGGTGAGTTTAATTTGTTTGAAAATTATTTTTCCATTATGTTAGGAAATAAAATTACTTCTATTTATTATTGTGTTTGGAATGTTACATGTGAATTTTGAATTGCAGAGTAACTTTTGTAAAATTTCATCCTCATGAAAAAAGGATACAGAAGTCTCACTATTGTCTACAGATATTTTTTTTGTCTACATGTATTCTGAAGATGTAAGATGCCAGTTGTGTCTACTCAAGACCAGTGAGCCAAAAGATTTTTAATAGTTAATTTAGTCAAATTATTGAATTCATCATTCATCATTCATTTTAACTGAATGATGTGACTATTTCAAGAAACTATCCATGTTAAATAATTGTCTTGTGGGCAGAGACATGCTTTCTTTGTGGAAGGCAGGATGGTAGAAGGAAAAGAAATGTAAATTTTGGATGGAAACTCCAATAGTTTATGACAATGAACTCTACTTGTTCTTAGATGTAAGCATAAATATGAAGAAAGAGATTATAATCAATTTCCCTACCAGCTCAGAAAAGGGCATGATTTTGAAGTTAATATACACTGAATTCCTTAAATATTTTTCAAATAAAGGGCTTACAATAAATAAGAAAAAATGGGGAAATAAGATATACTGTTCCTTTTAAGATAATGGAGAAAATCCTTCTTTTCTTTCTCTGAAGGATGGATTCCTTGCAAATTGCCCAAAACTCATTCCTGGAGGGGGAAATATGTATCCTACTTTTAGAAAAAGAGTCCATAGTTTTCAAGTTTTTCATTCATATTCTGGAAACTTACTTAGTAATTTAGAATTAATCTTGCCTACAATTGACCTAAAGAAGAATTACTTATGAACATCTGCCTATATTCTCATAATTTGCTGAGTTAATGTAGTCTTTTAAAGAAAAGCTAAACGTTTTACCTAACAAGTAAATGCATTCATATATCAAGAATGCTAAAATTTTCTTGTTTAAAATTATTTGTAAAAAAATAAAATAAAATAAAATTATTTGTATTATATTTAGTGAAAAATGTCAAACTTAATTAGCTCTATATATGTAAACATAAATAATGCATTTAAACTGAAATATAGGGATCCCTGGGTGGTGCAGCAGTTTGGCGCCTGCCTTTGGCCCAGGGCGCGATCCTGGAGACCCGGGATCGAGTCCCACGTCGGGCTCCCGGTGCGTGGAGCCTGCTTCTCCCTCTGCCTGTGTCTCTGCCTCTCTCTCTCTCTCTCTCTGTATGACTATCATAAATAAATAATAAAAAAAATAAACTGAAATATATTTTAAATTATTTGTCATAGGTGGAAAAGCCTAATTTATAAAAGTATTATATATCACAATTTTCCACAGCTGAAGAGAATATTATAGAATTATTTATTTACTACATTTTCATTCTGATGTAAAGAGTCATGGCCCTAAATTACTTTGTTATTTTATGTAGCTATACACACGTGTGTGTGTGTGACTGAATTCCTATTATCTATTTATCTTAGAATTTAATCTTCCTGTTCCCATAGCATTTGATCAAATATCAAATTGGCATTTTGTGCTATGACTTTCTTTTTTTTTCTCAAGCTATTTTTTTTAATTTTTATTTATTTATGATAGTTACACACACACACAGAGAGAGAGAGAGAGGCAGAGACATAGGCAGAGGGAGAAGCAGGCTCCATGCACTGGGAGCCCGATGTGGGATTCGATCCTGGGTCTCCAGGATCGCGCCCTGGGCCAAAGGCAGGCACCAAACCGCTGCGCCACCCAGGGATCCCAACTTTCTAGCTACTATTCATGTGAAAAATGGACAATAAAGGATATAAAGTGACACTTTAAGTTAAAATAAAAAATTTGTTTAATTGCACAAAATTATTTGGAAAATTATCTCAAAATACATGCACAAATTATATTTTAATTATTTGAGTAATCTGTGTAGAAGTTTCAAAATTTAACACATTTAAGTCAACTTAAACAAAAGGAAACTAGGTCAAGTAATTTACTCCTCACTGAATATACAGAAAATGACAGAAATTATTCTTAAACCAGAACTATGTATCTAAAGTCTAGTGTTGGGATCCCTGGGTGGCGCAGTGGTTTGGCGCCTGCCTTTGGCTCAGGGCACGATCCTGGAGATCCGGGATCGAATCCCATATCGGGCTCCCGGTGCATGGAGCCTGCTTCTCCCTCTGCCTGTGTCTCTGCCTCTCTCTCTCTCTCTCTCTCTCTCTCTCTCTCTCTCTCTCTCTCTCTCTCTGTGACTATCATAAATAAATAAATTAAAAAAAATTAAAAAAAAGATTTAAAAAAAAAATAAATAAAGTCTAGTGTTCTTTACCCATACATCCCCACATCAATAAGATGAGTCTGGGGATGATTTAAAGTTATAAGGAAGGCAGAGGAAGACTGTGATCAAGGAGTCTAAGGGCCATGGCAGTAATAGAAGAGAGATGTCTTGAATAGTATATATAACACTGGGCTATATTTGCTAGATAAAATGTGCTGTAAATCAACATGACTTTGCAATACTGTGATAGATAGATTGCTTATTTGTTTGGTATCCAGTAATTAAACACGCCATCTCAAAGACGACAATGTTACCATGTGCTGTTGTGTTAGTTCAAATATAAATGCTCACAAGGCGATGGTAGCAATATAGAGAGACAATGGCACCACCTTTTCACATGTCCCTTAAAGAGACTGCATGTGTGTGAGATGGCTTTGCAAGAGGTGGGGTCTGTCATTTAATTTTTATGGCATTAGAGAATTTAGAAAATTAAACCCTTCAGATTAAAATACATCATCACTCTCCCAAACTCTGCAGCAGGAAATGAATGGCCAGACAAATTCTTGATGGGCTAAACATAATGATATTTCTAAAGCCTTAGATGAAATATTTCTGTACTGTCCATATCAGAAATAGATATATCTGCAAATGTGTACATGTACAAAAGCGAAAGAGATACATTTGTGCATTTTTCTGTTAATAAAAGAGAATTGGGTTCTTAAAGCTATGTGCTCTTCTACTCTTCATGAGTTCACAGGTTTGGTTTAGTATGGAGTGAAAAAAATGGTAAATGCAAGAAATCTTGTTTTCAGAGTACAATAGCTCTCAAGATGCAAACCCTTCCTAATGAAGTTATGTTCATTTCTGTAGGCTCAATCATTTCAATTGTGTCTCCTAAAGAAATGGATCCATTATACTAAATATTAAAAATTATTTATAAAAAATGACCAGGTATCTAATTTAGATATCTAAATTAATTAATATTAATCAATATCTAATTTATTGAAATAAATTGCTGCTTATTTCCAAATATACTTTATCTGTGACGAGTAATTATGGTAATGAAGTTGTTTTAAAATTGCATCCCTGTACCCTGAACCACTTTACTTCTTATTATAGTTATTACTATTTTCTTCAAGCATTTATTGACATCAAAGATCCTCTCATTCTTTCCTTTCATATTTACTTGGCTTATTCAAAGTCTCCAATATTGCATATTTCCAGATGAAATGGTGTGTAGGACATATCTTTAAGCCCTAGTAAGCTGGAGAGATGTTTTCATTTTATTAAAAATGTAGAAACGGGCACTGAAGGAGACACTTGACGGATGAGCACTGGGTGTTATTCTGTATGTTGGTAAATTGAACACCAATAAAAATTAATTTATTAAAAAAATAAAATAAAATTTAAAAAAAAAGATAAAAAATGTAGAAACACACAGATTTCAGAGCAAGGATTGATGAGTTGGAATACCTGCACTTGGCAGGATGAGCACTGGGTGTTATGCTATATGTTGGCAAATTGAACTCCAATAAAAAATTTTTAAAAAATAAATAAAAATAAAATAAAAAATCAGGTAAATAGAAATATTTATTTATTATTTATTTATTTATTTTTCTATAAATTTATTTTTTACTGGTGTTCAATTTGCCAACATACAGAATAACACCCAGTGCTCATCCCGTCAAGTGCCCACCTCAGTGCCCGCCACCCAGTCACCCGCAACCCCCCCCGCCCTCCTCCCCTTCCACCACCCCTAGTTCATTTCCCAGAGTTAGTAGTTTTTCATGTTCTGTCTCCCTTTCTGATATTTCCCACTCATAATGGATAAAGAAGATGTGGTTTATGTATCAAATTGAATATTCCTCAGCCTTTAGAAATGACAAGTACCCACCATTTGCTTCAACGTGGATGGAACTGGAGGGTATTATGCTGAGTGAAATAAGTCAGTCGGAGAAGGACAAACATTATATGGTCTCATTCATTTGGGGAATATAAAAAATAGTGAAAGGGAATAAAAATATTTAATAAGAAAGTAATATTTATCAACTATCACACATATTATCTTTCCTCATTAGAGAATTTGTTTACTTACTCTTACATGTTGTATTCATAGTATTCTAACCCACATTAAAACAACTTTAATTTTCATTTATTAAAGAAAGAACTGAAATAATAATTTGAATATGTTACGATTTTCAAAATTTAAAAAAGATCTGTGAGTCAAACAAATGTAAATGACAAACTTTTGTGTTTATTTTCTCAAAAGGTTAATATTGGTTTCAGGAAAGCACAATAATGACAATACAAATAATGATACAAATAATACAAATAATGATACAAGTAGCAATACAAATCATATTGTAAATTATAAGTTTTTACTATTTACAACATAGACCTTGACAGTTGTTTTCTACTTTTGATACATTTGATCTATTATCTCAGTCAACCAATAAACTTTAGTGTGAAGTATAGCCTTACCTCATTTACAACATTAAAAAGTTGAGCTATGGAGAAGAGATATTATAAGGCAAGAATAGCCCTTTTAACTAGGAAGTAGAACTTTGAATCAAGACCTTGGATTCAATATGTAATACTTGTCTAAAACTGTATTGAAGTTAAGATCTTTAGATGATAAAAACTTCCTTTTCAATTTTTCCATTTGCAGCATCCCAGCTGCAGAATTCATGGAGAAGAGTAACACAACCATAGATTTCATTCTCCTAGGACTCTTTAATCACACAAGACCCCACCTTTTTCTCTTCATTGTGGTGATGACAATAGCCATTGCTTCTCTGAATGGAAATGCCCTCATTCTTCTCCTGATTCTCCTGGATTCCCGGTTCCACACACCTATGTACTTCTTACTAAGCCAACTCTCTCTCATGGACATGACGTTGGTCTCCACCATTGTGCCCAAAATGGCAGCTGACTACTTGAGTGGCAAGAAGTCCATATCCCCTGCTGGCTGTGGATTGCAGATCTTTGTCTCACTCACACTGGGCGGTGGAGAAAGTTTCCTCTTAGCAGCCATGTCCTATGACCGCTATGTGGCTGTTTGCCACCCACTGAGATACCCTGTTCTCATGAGCTGGCAATTATGCCTGAGAATGACTGTGGGGTCTTGGTTCCTTGGGGCAGCTGATGGGCTCATGCAGGCTGCTGCCACCCTGAGTTTTCCATTTTGCAGGGCTAATGAAATTGATCATTTCTTCTGTGAGGCCCCCATACTGGTGCGTTTGGCTTGTGCTGACACGTCAGTCTTTGAAAATATCATGTACATCTGCTGTGTGTTAATGCTTCTGGTCCCCTTTTCCCTCATCCTGACTTCCTATAGTCTCATCCTCTCATCAGTTCTTCAGATGCATACTACAGAAGCCCGCAGGAAGGCTTTCTCCACCTGCTCCTCACATCTCTCTGTGGTGGGACTCTTTTATGGAGCTGCTATTTTTATTTACATGAGACCCAAATCATACAGGTCAGATAACCATGATAAAGTGGTCTCAGCCTTCTATACGATTTTCACCCCTGTGTTGAACCCCCTCATCTACAGTCTAAGGAATAGTGAAGTCAAGGGAGCCTTGAAAAGATGGTTGAGGAAATGTGCAAATGTAAAACCCCAGTACACTTAGTTCTATTCTTCAAGTTACCCAGTGCCAAATGAATCTGTTTCTGTATTTGTTAACATTTTAGACATATTGTAATTATCTCTCTTTTAGTAATGCATGAAGATAATGTTAAGTACATTGATCAGTATAATAGTTAAGTTGTTAAAAATTGAGTCTACTACACTGAGGTACTGTTTCTTGAACATTGACTATTTGTTTTGCTCCCAGATAAGCACTTTTATAGATTATTTTGCATTCTTTTTTTTTTAATTTTTTTTTATTTTTTTATTTTTTTTTAAATTTTTATTTATTTATGATAGTCACAGAAAGAGAGAGGGAGAGAGGCAGAGACAAAGGCAGAGGGAGAAGCTGGCTCCATGCACCAGGAGCCCGATGTGGGATTCGATCCTGGGTCTCCAGGATCACGCCCTGGGCCAAAGGCAGGCGCTAAACCGCTGCGTCACCGAGGGATCCCTATTTTGCATTCTATAACAGCCATATAAGTGCTTTGATTCCCATTTTCTAATGACAAATTAGAAGCAAGAAAACTTAAATATTTTTCCAATACACACAGTATATGTTAAAATGTGACTCCAAATCTTGTCCCCTCACTTGGTATATTTTATTTCTGTCCATTTATTTTGACTACTGTGTTTTCTATGTCTTTGTCCTATGCATTTTTAAGAAATAAATATAGGGATTCCAACAAAGTCAAACAAGAACATTAATTTTACCTATAATTTAAAATGCAGGCCTATAACAAAGGGGGAATTGTACGACTTAAAATGAGTATCATATTGTCACTATCATAAAAATTTTCTTCCACAGTCTCTTTATTTTGCTTTGAATGCAAACATTTTTATTTCATGCAATTTTTCACTTAAGTCATATTTTATATGTATAAAATTCCCAGGCTCCATTTGGAATGGCTAATCTGTTATGAAGTACACCATGGCTAAACTCACTTTTCTGGAAGCAGATAGTGTTCATGATGTTTAAAAGTTATGTTGATTTACGATGGACATTGCATTGATGAATATAAACTCAGATGCATAAATATGCATAGTCTTAATAGAATATCTGATGATACTGGATTATCAAAACTGAGTAAGAATTGACCACGAGTTTTTTACAAATTATGCAGATCACCTTACTTCTGCAAATGGACGACAACTAGAGCCAATCCCATAAAAAATATGGGCACTCCTCAAGGTTTGGTGACTTAGAAAAGAGAAGAAGCAAGACTATTTCTTCTGTATATCTGTTAGATGAAGACACAAGCCAGAGAGATAAGGCAGAAAGCTGTCATCTTCAAAGCCAAATTGTAACTGAAAATTACAAGTTTATTTAGTGAATTTTATGACAGAGACTAAATTTACTGCAGTTGTAAAAAACTTAAGAAATACAGTATTTTATATATAAAGAGAGAACTTCAAAAAAGAGCTTCTAGGAACAATGAACCTCTATACTAGTGTCTGAGATATGAATGGCATTTCAGATTTTAGAGCAATATGGGATATTTCCAGCTACATGTAGAGATGCAAATACTAATATCACGTGTATATTTATGATAGTACCTTAACCACTGCATGTAGATCTGGACCTCCTATCTAGAGAGAATCATCAGGAGACTCTACACTCCTGGGAGGATTTGAGAATATCAGGTGAGAGCAATCATCTTTTTTTTTTCAATCATCTGTTTAAACAAAGAGTTTATTTGTCTTATTTATTTTCTACTTACTCAGTATTAGGATGAAACAAAGGAAGAGACATACTTGCTAATTTTATATCAGTTATGCAATCAGAATGTTTTTCTTCCCATGAAATGGAAAAATTTCATAGATGTAAATGCAGTCATGGAAATCGCATTATTTTTGCCAGATTCACTGATCATCAAAATGGCAAGTAAGCCCATATAATTTGATAAGGATAAAATATATCAATGAGACGATTATTGAGCCTGACCTATAATAGGAAAAACAAACAAAATGGATAAACATTATCTCCAAAGAAATGTAAGAAATTAATAAATATTGACCAGATAATTATAAAAATAGCAACACACTTCAGAGAAATAATATTAATGACCAGTAATCTGACCAGAAAGGAGCCTTTTCCAAAAAAGACATCCAGATGGCTAGCAGACACATGAAAAGACGTTCAAAATTAATAATCATCAGAGAAATACAAGTCAAAAATATGTTGAGAAACCACCTCACACACATCAGAATAGCTAAAATTAACAAAACAAGAAACAGGACGTGTTGGCAAGGATGCAGAGAAAGGGGAACCCACCTACACTGTTGGTGAGAATACAAACTGTTCCAGACACTCTGGAAAACAATGTAGAGATTCCTCAAAAAGTTAAAAATAGAACTATCTTATGATCCAGCAATTGCACTACTAGGTATTTACCCAAAGGATACAAAAATAGTGATGTAAAGGGATATATGTATTCTGATGTTTAAATAGCATTATCAACAGTAGCCAAGTATGGAAAGAGCCCAAATGTCCATTGTCTGATGAATAGATAAGGAAGATGTAAGGGGAATATAATATATAAAGGAATATTACTCAGCCATCAGAAAGAATGAAATCCTGCTATTTGCAAGATATGAATGGAGTTAGAGTGTATTGTGCTAAGATAAATAAGTCAGGCAGAGAAAGACAAATACCATATGACTTCACTCATATGTGGAATTTAAGAAACAAAACATGAATATATGGGAGGAGGGGAAAAAGGGAAAAAGAGAAGTAAACAAACCATAAAATATTGAGATTTTTAAAAGATTTTTATTAACTCAAGAGAGACACACACATGGGATGGGGGAGAATCAGGCTCCCTGTGGGAAGCCTGATGCAAGACTCAATCCCAGGACCCTGGGATCATGACCTGAAACAAAGGTAGACGCTCAACCATGGAGCCACTCAGGTGCCCAACTCTAAGAGACATGAGAAAATGCTCCGCATCACTTGCCGTCAGGGAAATACAAATCAAAACCACAATGAGATGCCACCTCACACCAGTGAGAATGGGAAACATTAACAAGGCAGGAAACCACAAATGTTGGAGAGGATGCGGAGAAAAGGGAACCCTCTTACACTGTTGGTGGGGATGTGAACTGGAGCAGCCACTCTGGAAAACTGTGTGGAGGTCCTCAAAGAGTTAAAAATAGACCTGCCCTACGACCCAGCAATTGCACTGCTGGGATTTACACCAAAGATGTGGATGCAATGAAACGCCGGGACACCTGCACCCCGATGTTTATAGCAGCAATGTCCACAATAGTCAAACTGTGGAAGGAGCCTCAGTGTATACTGAAAGATGAATGGATAAAGAAGATGTGGTTTATGTAGACGATGGAATATTACTCAGCCATTAGAAATGACAAATACCCACCATTTGCTTCAATGTGGATGGAACTGGAGGGTATTATGCTGAGTGAAATAAGTCAATTGGAGGACAAACATTATATGTTCTCATTCATTTGGGGAATATAAATAATAGTGAAAGGGAATAGAAGGGAAGGGAGAAGAAATGGGTAGGAAATAGCAGAAAGGGAGACAGAACATGAAGACTCCTAACTCTGGGAAACGAACTAGGGGTGGTGGAAGGGGAGGAGGGCGGGGGTGGGGGTGGGGCTGAATGGGTGACGGGCACTGAGGTGGGCACTTGACGGATTGAGCACTGGGTGTTATTCTGTATGTTGGCAAATTGAACACCAATAAAAAATAAATTTATTATTAATAAAAAGAGAGAGTCTAAAAATAGAAAACAAATTGGATCACTTAGGTGGCTCAGTTTATTACCACCCAACTCTTGGTTTTAGCTCATCATCTCAGAGTCATGTAGTCAAGCAATGCAGAGCCTGCTTGAGATTCTTTCCCCTTCCTCTCTGGCCCCTCTCCTCCTCCCCCTTCTTGCACGCTCTCTTTCTTTCTGTAAAATAAATAAATAAAATCTTAAAAAAAGAAAAATAGAACAAACTGAGGGTTGATGAAGAGAGTTGAGTGGGGAATGGGCTACTTGAGTGATGGATGTTAAGAAGGGCAATTTTTGTGATGAGCACCGTGGTGTTTTGTGTAAGTGATGAATTACTGAATATTACTTCTGAAACCAATATTGACATGTAATATGTACTGCAATATATCCTTGTTGTCCAGTTTATTTGGAATACAAAAATATTGTGTAATAATAACAAGGATGTGTGATATGATGCTGAGCAAACATTATTGTAGGAAGTGGAACATTAATTCTGAATGAATTACCACATATCATTTATTCCTTGATGTTGAAATACTAGAATAAAATGCTACATTCAATCATTTTTCTCTCAATTAAATTTAAAGAATTATAAGAGAATAAGACTAGAGAATAATATGCCAACTATGACGTCTCTTATCAGTCTCAAACATAAGTCATTCTAAAATCATACAGCACAGGAATTGCTACTACATTTTGGTCCAGGAAAATTGTATGCTTTAGCCTTCAATCATTTGAAAATTATTTATGAGAGTATATTTGACTGATACACAGATTAGCGCATATGAATTCATGAAGCAATTTATGCTTATAAATGATTATGTATATATATATATTTCTATACAATTTATATATGTAGACTATTATATGTAAGGCCCAACCACCATGCTATGAGAAGCACAAGAAGCTTGAGGAAGGGCCAACATGAAAAAAATAACCTATCTAGCTTGGTGAGCCCCCAGTCATCAATTAGTACCAACTCACTGTCATGTTAATGACTTTTTTTGAGGTGGATCTCTAACTCCAGTTGAGTTGTCTCAATTGACACAAAAATCGTTGGTCCATAAAGCCCTGCCCAAACAAGAGTTTCATGAGAATAATAACTTAGTATTGCTTTAAACCACTGATATTTGGAGTGACTTGTTAACCAAGAATATTAACTAAAATATATTTTGATACTTGGAAGTGGCATTGGACCCCAAAAGAATACTGAAATTATGTCATGTTGTCATAAGATCAAGTAGCAGGCAGAAAACAAAAC